TGATGGTAAATAGAAAAGCAGAAATACAGAGTAAAGCTAAAGCCTTTCCTAGAACCAGCATGATCTCGCCTGGAGTCCGTCCACAATCCGTTAGCTGCAATTCTGAAATCCAAAAATCATTTTCTTCTCTAAATTTGGTACAGACCTATTCTGTGGCAGAACCTGACTGGGAACGACGAGAGGCTGTTTATAGTCTTTATTTATCCCACTTAGTATGACTGTTTGTTTCACTGAAGAGATACTGTTGTGTTTGATTACAGGGTGCTGCCCCAGCCCCAGTGGAGTTTTACTTAATACACAGCATATTACCTTTTTAAAATCTGAAAAATTCTAAATTCTGAAAAATGACTGTCCCAAGGGGCTTATAAAAGCCTGTAAGGGACCATGGACCTGTGACCTCCCCATTACTCATCCTGCCTCCCTCTCCCTGTGACCTCCCCTTTACTTACTCTGCATGGCCACACTGGCCTCCTTGCCATCCCTGGCACAGGTCTGCCCCAGGGGCTGTCACACACGCTGCTCCCTCTCTCTCAACTGCTCTCCTTCCCCGTAGACATCATCGTGGCTCATGGCTGCACCGCCTCCTTCAGCTCGGTAGTAAATACCCACTTCTCAGTAAAGCCTTCCCTGGACACCCTAAGATGTCACCCACACCTCCTTTCCCTGCTTTATTTTTTCTCCTTAGCACTTATCATTATCTAACATACTTATCTTTTATTTACTTTGCATGTTTATTGTCTGCTTCACAAGAATGTAAGCTCCACAGAGACGAGGATTTTTGCCAGTTTTGTTTACTACTGTGTATCACTAGTATCTAGAACAGTGCATGACACACAGTAGGTGCTCAATAAATATTTATTGAATGAATGAATATTTAGAGAATTTTATAATAAAAAGCTATTACAAAATAGAAAAATTCAAATACTCTAAGACCTGGTTCCCTAAATCTCTAGTAAACTGAAGGAAAAAAAGGATAAAAATCATAGATATACAAAATTAAGAATAATAAAGGTTCTATTACAGATAAGAGAAGATGTAAAAATCATAAGAAAATACACTGTATATCTTATGGTAATTAATTCTCAATCACAAATTTCTAAAATTGACTTAATAAGTGAAAACCTGAATAGCTTGAAAATAATCGAAAAAAAGATTTAACAAAAAAATAGTTTCAAAAAAACTTCCAGGCCCCCATATAGTTTCGTTGGCATGTGCTTCAGACTTTGAAGGAACAGAAAAATTTTAGTGCTATTGAAACTGTTCCCAAACACAGAAAAAGTTTCCCATTTAATTATATCAAACAAACTAGCATAACCCTTATACCAAAACACAAGAAAGAGTATCTCTTAGAACTAGATAAAAGTATAGGATAAATTATAGCAAATCAAATCCAACAATGTGTCCAAGTAAAAACACATCATTGTCAAGTAAAAATTAGTTCTACAGTGCAAGAAGGATTTAATATTAGGAAATCTATTAACAAAATTTACCACATCAGTTTCTCAGTATTTCAGATACTAAAAATGTATCTTAAAAAGAAAACACCCAGGGGCCGGCCCCGTGGCTTAGCAGTTAAGTGCGCGTGCTCCGCTACTGGCGGCCCGGGTTCGGATCCCAGGCTCACACCGACACACCGCTTTTCCGGCCATGCTGAGGCCGCGTCCCACATACAGCAACTAGAAGCATGTGCAACTATGACATACAAATATCTGCTGGGGCTTTGGGGAAAAAAAAGGAGGAGGATTGGCAATAGATGTTAGCTCAGAGCTGGTCTTCCTCAGCAAAAAGAAAGAAAACACCCATAAAAAAAAAAAAGACAACTTGATAAATCAGTACTAGAAAGCTCTTCTCTATCATAAAAAAAAAAAAAACTTAAATGAACAGCCAGCGTCCCACACACACACCATTTTTCTTTGAATATATATTAAATCCATCAGATACATTCTAAATATATATTTCCCCCAGTTCTGAGGGCCATCTAAAGCTTCCAGGCAATTAAAACTAGCTCATTGTATTGGCAAAGTGAGCTTATAATATGATATCATCCAAACCAGGAACGTTTTGAATGTGAATGAGTGCTGGTAATAATTTCGCTGGGGGGAAAGTCATACACGGGGACTGTCCTGGGCAAAACGGGATGTGTGGTCATCCTGTCTCTTGGACATAGGGTGTTCATATGCCATGCCCCACACGCTCTGAGCCCAAAGGGGTGATCTTCTGAATTGGGTGTTTTGCACTGGGGTCCTGTGCTGCACCGGAGGCTTCTCTGTCTGGGTCTGTGGTTGGGAACAGGTTTAATCCACACATGCTGATAAAATGTGTGCAAATGATAGTACTGGACTTCTTGCAAGGGACCAAGGGGGAGTGTCTTGCTGGATGTTAGAATGGAAGGAAGTGGTCAAAACCACTAGCCTGTAAGTAGGCAGTAAGGGTTTGGTGAAGCCTTTTACATGACCAAGGGTCTTATAAGTGTCACTGTAGCCTGGGATGACTGACTATTGGATGCTTGGTAGAGAGAAGAAATTATGGCTAGAGGCTCCTTGGGCCTTCTAGGGAATTTGAAAGGAAGGAAAAGCAGTTCTTCATATTTGATGTGGAGAAACTATCTCTGCTGGAACCAGGCTTTAACCATCCTAAAAGCATTAAAGTTAAAGTACTTGCATTTCCAAGAGCCTGTTAATCTATTATCACTGCCCTCCACCATCATCCTGAGAATAGGACTTCCTAACAGTTGAAACACACAGGAGGCGTTCTTATTATATTAAATAACAAGACAATAATACCATCACCACTATTTAAATTGTTCTGAAACTTACAGCCCGTATAGCTGGACCAAAAACTGAAATAAGAGATGCATTAGAAAGTAGAAAAAATATCATTATTTACATGTTTAACTATCTACATATCTCAAAAAAGAGTTCAGTGTATTTTCTGACTTACCAAAAATTATAAGATCAGTAACTTTCCTATACCAATAATAACCAGGTAGAAAATAGAAAGGAAGAAAATCTTATTGAGAATAGCAACAAAAATTATAAGCGAGACAAGGAACATTTAGCAAGAAATGTGCAGAATCTTTATGAAGACAATCATAAAACTTTACTGGTAAACATTTTTTTTTAAATTCCATGTTCCTGAATGGGAAGACTGCATGTTGTAAACCAGCCATTTAGCCCTCAAATTAATTTTTAGGTTTACTGCAAATTTTAATCAAAACACCAAGTCATGGGCTGGCCCTGTGGCTTAGCGGTTAAGTGCACGCTCTCTGCTGCTGGCGGCCCGGGTTCGGATCCTGGGCACGCACTGACACACCCGTGTCCCACATACAGCAACTAGAAGGATGTACAACTATGACATACAACTGTCTACCGGGGCTTTGAGGGAAAAATAAATAAATAAAATTATAAAAAAAACAAAAAACAAAAAACAGTGCATCTTTAAAAAAAAAAAAAACACCAAGTCGATTTTGGGGTTCTTTTTTTTGAGATGAGTCAGAAGAATATAGAGAAAAGAGACTTGATCAAATGTCTGTGAAATTCAAATGGGAAAAAAAGAGGAAAGATTGATATGAAGCAGAATAACAAGAGTGTTTTGCCAGATAATAAAATTTATTATCAAGTTAGAATGATTAAAAAAAAAGAGTGTGATACAGGTACCACAAAGGACAGACAGAAAACTCAAAACTAACATTTTTGTGTATATCGCAGCTTAGGGAATTACAGATGTAGCAACAAAATCAGTAGAGAAATGATTATTTAATTAACAGCTGGGACAGTTGCTTAATTATTAAGAAAATTGTTAGATCCTTACACTCAATGCTGTGTATCAAATTCCAGATAGATAAAAATTAAGTTGTGAAAAATAAAATTATTAAAAAAGGAACTAGAAGAAGATTTAACTGAACATCAGTTAATAGCCTGAGGAAGGACTTTATTCATAAAAACAATGAAAGAAATCTCAAAGGGAAAGATACATTTGCATAAAAATTAAAAATTGCTTTATATTTTTAAAAAAGTAAACAGTATTAGAAGCCAAATGATAAACTATAAAATAGTAGTTGCAACAAATAAACCAAACAAATTTATATTCTTCATTTTATTCCTACAAATCGACAAGTTAAATACTAACAGCACAGTTAAAAATAAGCAGAGGTCATGAACCATCCTTCACAGAGGTAATACAGATGGGCAGTAGATATATGAAGAAAGGTGATTTCCTGAGCCAGCCCCTGATGGTCTGATGGTTAACATTCAGTGCTCTTACCACTTCAGTGGCCTGGGTTCACTTCCCCGTCACAGAACCACACCCCACTTTTGTCAGTTGCCATGCTGTGGCAGCAGCTCACATAGAAGAACTAGAAGGGCTAACAGCTAGGCTATACAACCATGCACTGCGGCTTTGGGGCGGGGGGGGGGGGGAAGAGGAAGATTGTTAGCTTAGGGTGAATCCTTGCCTGCCAAGAAAAAATGATTTCTTCTTTGTGAGAAGTCAATGTTCATTAGTGCCAGTATCTGAGAAAAGGGATTCACAAACTGATGCATAGTTTTCTTTACTGCTTGCTTGACTTTATCACCTAGGCTTATTGCAATGATTTATGTTCTCTTTTATAAATTTTTCCTATTTATTTCTCATAATGGGATTTTGGAACATTTCTTTAAGAGTACACATATATAAATTCTATAAGTAGTAATATTTGATTTAAACGTTTTAATAAGACATATGGAGGACCAGATCCAACATTTATTGAGTACTTGCTGTGTGCTGAACAATGGGCCATGCACTTTGCATATGTTATTTCATTCCATCCTAACCAACACTCTGAACCTGAAGCTAAAGCCCAAAGAGTTTAAGAATCTTTAGTGCCCAATATGAGTCACCTGGTAAGAAGCCAAGTTGGAATTTGAATCCAGGTCTGTGTTACCCCTGAGTCTGTTATTACACTGCCTTACCTGATTTTTGTATCCTTCTATGGAATAAATGTTTGTTGCTTTTCTTTCTAGTTTTTCCCAAACGGATATGCCTTTGCCACTGGCTCTGATGATGCCACTTGCCGGCTCTTCGACCTCCGTGCAGACCAAGAGTTGTTATTGTATTCTCACGACAATATCATCTGTGGAATCACTTCCGTAGCCTTCTCCAAGAGCGGGCGCCTCCTGTTAGCTGGTTATGATGACTTTAATTGTAACGTATGGGACACGCTAAAAGGAGACCGTGCAGGTTAGTAAATAAGTCCACATTGGGTTTTAATTTTGTCAGGAAACATGAGGAGGTCCCCATCAGCTGTTTTCGAGGCCTCCTGGACACCCTGGAGCTGTGGGGAATGGCAGCCAGGCAGTTCCCATTCATGGTCGTCGTTGCCCTTAGGAAACAGTTACAGTCCGTAAACCATACTTACGTTTCTGTTTTTTGAAGAGTAACATCTAGTTCTAGAATAGTTTCTTGTTTGGTAGGTTTTGATATAAAGATGAACAGTGAATATAATTCAGTGTGGTCTTTTCCAAATTACAGTTTTCTTGTAACCTGACAGGAAGCATTGTAACTGCTGTGGGTCATCTTCCTTCTGGAGCAGATCTTCTCTGGGGCAGGACGGAGAGCCACTGTCTCCCCTTAGCCCCATACTCTGAGTTCTCCCCTGTAGCTTCCAACATATTAGCACACACATCAAGTCATACTGGGGACTGTCATTCATAACAAACTACACAGACGGATTTAAGTTTTTTTTTTAGAATCAAAATTATACTTGAGTCAAATAGTTCTACATGGCTTGTTGCTATAACACAGCAGTCGTCCGACCCCAACCCCCATCTTCTGCTCCCAAAGGTAGCTGCTTTTAAGTATTTACATTTCATATCTCTAAATAACATGCCTGTATTGCTGTTACTTGATTTTTTTTTAATTTTTAGAAATTATCTGTTGAGGGTTTCCCTTTAACATCCCTCCTCCCACCACAGCCGCATCCTTCCCATCTTCCGGTTTTTCCCATGTAGTGAATTTTGTTTAGAGCGTCAGTTAGTATTTTCATAATTAGGACATTTTAAACAGTATTTACTGCTGAGCAATGAGGTATATACTGACTGCTTTTGCTCTGCAGCTTTTGTATGTTCTCTAGGGTTAAATTAATTTTTTGGCTTATATTCTTAATTTTGATATACTTCTCACTAATTAATCTTCAGACTTTCTGCCAATTCTCATGTCTTGGAGTGGATCCATTTTCATCCATTGTGGTGGATATTCAGTGGATCTTTTCGGTCTGGAAACTGATACCTTCTAGTACTGGGAAGTCTGGGGGCTCATTTAATTGATTGCATTTCTTCTCCACTATCATTCTCTTTCTAGAACTCCCGTTATTCTGATGTTGCACTTCCTTGGACTTTCCTATTATATTCTCTCCTGCTTTCTATCTCTGTCTTTTTTTTTTTTGCTCTATGTTCTGGGAGAAATCTTCGCCTTTTCTTTCAGTGACCCTTCTGTTAAGTTTTGGTTTTTCATTTTTCCTACCATCTTTTTATTTGTTTTATTTTATTTATTTTTTTCTGAGGAAGATTAGCCCTGAGCTGACATCCATTGCCAATCCTCTTTTTTTTTTTTTTTTTTTTTAATTTATTTTTGTGAGGAGATCAGCCCTGTGCTAACATCTGCCAATCCTCCTCCTTTTTTGCTGAGGAAGACTGGCCCTGGGCTAA